GATGGATACACATACACCATTTTAGGTATAAGATTTCACCAGTTGTGTGTAGTAGATCTTTGTAACATTATCACATGTATAGATAGAGTCCATGCGGCCAATCACAAGACAGATGCTGAAAAGTTCTGTTGCAAGGATTCTTGTGCCTCCAAAAGAGCATTTTGCAGTTGGGTTATGTTTGCTTTTCTTTTATATACTTTTTTTTTTTTTTAGATCAGTGTCTTAGTTATTGTTCTATTGCTATGACCATGACCAGGACCAAGACAACTTATAAAAGTATTTAAATGGGGTCTTGCTTACTGTTACAAAGAATGAGTCCATGGTCATCATGGCAGGGAGCATAGTGGCCTCAGGCATATGTGGCACTGGAGCAGTAGGTGAGAGCTTAAATGCTACCCACAAGCAGAAGGCAGAGAAAGGGAGAAAGAGACTGAGCTTGGCATGGACTCTTGAAACCTCAAAGCCCAGCCCCAATTGGCACACCTACTCCAACAAGGCAATATCTCCTAATCCTTCCTAAACAGTATACTATCTGAGAATCAGATATTCAACGCTATGAGACTATAGGGGCCATTCTCATTCAAACCACCACTGTCAGTGTCTTCAACCTACAACAGATTACATATTGAGCTTATTAAATATGCAAGTTTCTATATCTTCCCTAGAAACATTAAATTAGAATCTCTTGGATTGTGACCCAGTGACATACACTTTCCTTATGTCTGTGAGGCAGTGACACACTGAAATATCAATGATGAGAAAAGAGCCAACTCTTTAAAAACCTGGATGAGAGCTGGAATAGTGCTTTCCAGTAGGATTGTGCTGCCGTTCATGTCAGTGAAGACACATTCAAGGAGTAAAAGAGAGATGGCTCCTCTGTTTATGTAAAATGCTTGCCATGCAAACGTGAGGACTTGAGTTTGGCTCCCAATCACCCATATAAAAGGCCAGGCATGGTAGTATGTGCTTGTAATCCCATCCCTGGGGGACAGAGACAAGAATATCCTGGGGGCTTTTAGCTAGTTAGTCTAGCTTAATCAGGAAGCTCCAAGTTCAGTGAGAAACTCAGTTTCAAAAAATAAGGCAGGGGCCTTCTTTTTATCTAATGAGATGGTTCATTAGGTAAAAGGCACCTCTCTTAAGCCTGACAACCTGTGTTAAATTCCTTAGAGCCTCATGATGGAGGTCCTTTGACCTCCACATGTACTTTGGTACATACATGGCCAGACACATATGCACATGAAAAATACTGCTTAAAGAATTAGTCAAAGAGCAATGGAAGACACCTCATATTGACCTCTGGTCTCTACATACTCATACACATGTGAATGCATACACGTATATACACCACACTGCACATACTTCACACACAAGATCATGTTTACCAAATAAAATAGTGAAAAAGAAACAGGTTAAATTATCTTTATAAAAAAATAAAAAATAAATAAAAAGTTATCTTTATAATATTACTTTACTAATATATTAAATTTTGATTATATAATTAATATAAAATTTTTAATATATTTCTCATTCTTATTTCCACAAAGTCTTTAAAATCTACCAAATTTTGCAATCTGGATTGGCCAAATTTCAAGTACTAAGTAAACACATCTGACTAGGAACTATCTAAAGATTTGCACATATTTATTCTGAATGAACTGCCAGTACAAAGGCCACAGAGCAGAGTCTTAGAGAGATGTTCATTTGACATCTGGACATTGAAAGTTCTGGTCTTGATCTTTGGTACAAGAGCAAAACTAGATCTACAGATTTATGATAGAGAAGACTTGTCATAATAGTCTTCAGTAGTTGTCAAAAAGGACTTACTAAAATCGCCATAGGCCTTATTTATATGTCACTGCACCCTAAGGGAACATAGACAAATATCTGATAGGAACCTGAGTATCTGGGGTTTGGGGCACATAAGCATATGTGGATATCTTCCTAGTTGATTCTGGTGCAAGGCTTCCTTGAAGGCTCGGTTCCTGGCTGAGGATCAGTGGGTAAAAGGAGTGGGAATGAAGGAGGTTATGGATATTCAGGGAAGAGGGAAGCACTCAGGGAGTTAGGCAAGTAAAGGGGGTACTCTGATAACGCAAGAAGAGGGGGAGTATTTTACAGATTATGCTCATTGTCATTGATGTTGCATCTTAAATACTGTGGTCTTCTGGACTCCAGTGGTTTCTGAAGATGAGTCAGTTAATGAAGGCAGAACTGTGGTTTAGCTGCCAGAAGATCAGAGCTGGATTGACTGGCAGAGGGGGCATGCTTAGCCTGCCAGCAGGGAATGGATTTTGTTGTTGTTATTGTTGTTTTCTCGGTCTTTGAAAGCAGGGTCTCTTTATGTATCCCAGGCTGGCTAAGTATCCCAAGCTGGTTTAGCACTCACTGTGTTACTGTGTTGCTTAGACTGTCCTAAAATGCTTCATTTGCCTCAAACCCAAGTATCAGGATTATAAGAATTTTCCATCATGCATAATTATTAAAGCCTTTCTGCTTGCATATTGTCAATCTATAGGATCTTTCTACTATGGCTCTGACTTACAGCTGATGAGGTTTAGCTAATGGTATGTATACATACATATCCACTTTTGTTTACCTAGTCCTGGCTCTTTGTTCATTGTAGAAAGTTAGAATGCGTATAAGTAGGGCCTAGGTACATCATTACTTAATGTTCCTAATACCCTTTTGATGTACCAAGGATGAGACCTACTAATCCTTTTTATTTATAGCACAGTGGTCACCTCTAAGTGAGAAAGTAAAACAATTCATCTTCATGTTCTCAGAGACCAGCATGTGTTAAGCTTTCAGCATAGAATAGATCTAAAGGCATTGACAGAAACATCTCAAGAATAAAGATAGACTCACAATTAAGGGACCTATTCTGAACCTCACCATTTACATCATCACATGATATAGTAAACCACTCTACTGAGTGTCATTTTAAAAAGTCACTGCAGACTTATAAAGATTTTATTTTGTATTCTTTTTAAATTGAAATTAGATTCTCTCATACAATGCATCCAACCGGTTTCACCACCCCTCCCCCCAACTCCTCCCAGCTCTACTCCCTCCTTCTCTTGAAGAGCCACCTCCCATCCATTTCCTCTTCAGAAAAGAAAAAGCCTCCAAGAGGTGACAACCAAACAGGACAAAACAACATACACTAAGACAAGGCAAAAGCTCTCCTATCTAGGCTGGGCAAGGCAACCCAATAGGAGGAAAAGAGTCCCATAAGCAGACAAGAGTCAGAGATAGACCTGCTCCTACAGCTAGGAGCCCCACAAAACCACCAAGCTGACAACCATAAAATATATGCAGATGACCTGGTGCAGACCCCTGCAGGCCCTGTGCGTGTCATTTCAGTCTCCGTGAGCCCATATGAGCCCTGCTTAGTGGATTCAGTGGGCCATGTTTTTGTGTTCACTACCACTTGAAAATACTTCATTTTCACTAAATAGTAAAGCATACATACTTAAATTTTAATCCTATACCTATATTTTAATACCCTTTTTAAAAACATTTAAAAACACTTTATTGAAAAAGTTTATGCAATATGTTTTGATCATGTTTTCCCCATCCTAGTTTCCCTCATATCCTCCCCACTCCCCTACCCATCTAACTTTATATTCTTTTTGTCTCATTTTTCAAAAACAAAAATAAAAGAAACAAACAAAAACCAAATGCCACGAAACAACCCCACAAAAGTGAAAATCAAGATGAACAATGAATATTTATAATTCTTTGCTGTGATTCTTTTTTGAAAAAAATATTTATTTATTATTTTATGTGTCTAAAGGAGGATACACCTGCCATAGTGCTTTTGTGGAGGTCAGAGAACAACTTGCAAGAATTGATTCCCTCCTTCTACCATGTGGGTCTCCTACATCAAATAGGTCTTCAGGGTTGGCAGCAATCATCTCTACCCACTGAGCAATCCGCTCACTCATGACTCTTAAAAGCACTGCAGTGACTTAGGTTTTCTCTTGAGCTATGGCTTTAAAAAAAAAAAACAACAATGAGAGACAAAGCATTCTAGAAAGAAAATAAGCTGGAAATCACTATATAATGCATTATAATCAAAATTAATTGGCTTTTTCTACATCAGATATTTTATAAAATTCTCCTTGCCTAAGACATGCCAACTAACAGATAGATACCTGTTTCATCTCACTAAACCCACTGCTGAAGTCATCTCAAAAGCTGCAGCAGGGTTTTTCCACAAAGGAGTGTCGGTTGATGTTCACTGTTGGGATTCTAGAGAAAGCAGCTCCATACTCCAAGGTGTACTATACTCTCTCTAGCATCAGCTTGGGCCCTTACAGAATGCTTCAGCTTCACTCATAATGGGCAATGAGAGGAAAGCATGTTGTATCTAGGCTGGAGGAAAAGGCATGTCCACTCAAGTGGTCCAGAAAAGGAATTTATCTGGGCCAGAGCCAGGACAAGTTTTTTGTTTTTTGTTTTTTTTTTTAAGTGTTTTTGGTGTCAACCAAAACACCTTTTCAGTGCTGGGGTGAAGAAGGGTAGTGAGAGATTCAACCAGCCTTATCTGTGGTGCTGACCATGTCCATTTGAGCATGTCATATTTGGTCTGGGGTCTGGGACAGGCTCACCCTCTCTTAGTTCTGCTTGGGTCACGGAGAGCAGCCTGGGTGTTGATCCTTGGAGCTGGAACTTGTGGGTCATCAGTTTCTTATGTAAGTGACTTCTCCCCAAATAAAATTAACCTATATTTAACTTAGTCCCATGTATCTTAATCTGTGCTACTACAGGGAAGTGTTAAAACTTCCTGCATAGGTTTGATCCTGCTGTCAGACCCTATAGTGTCAAAGAGCACTCAGACACCAATTTGGGGTCAGGACATAGGGTAGAGGAACTGAGGTCTTCAGCACCACAATGAAAGATGCTTTTTCCTTCTCTACTTGTAACTGTTGATGTATTGGTTTGGGAATATCTGATGCAGCTTGTCATTCTAAAAGTTATCACTGTTCCCACAGATGAAAAGAAGCGAAGAGTCAACAGCCAGACAAACCAGTGAAGAACAAATAGGTACTCTTCATTGTTGGAAATGTAGGAAATGTATTGCAAGTTCCAGCTGCTTCATGAATTACCTTGAGAATCAAGTGATTGAGGTGAGTAGCTCTGGCTTCAAGAGTTTTAGAGTGTAGAAATATTGGAGGCTCACCCATACCGTGCACACCTGAATGCATGACAAATACCTTTTAAAATCTGATGCATTTCAGTGGATAAAAACCTGAAACTTTTCATGCCAACATTTTATAGGACATAATTTATATATAATAAAATTTCCTATAGATTGATAACTTAATTATCTCTAATATGAATCAATTCAAGGTATACATTTCCATGCCCCCAGAAGTCTGTTTTGCCCCTTTCAGACAAGATGCTCTCCCACTCCAAGGCACCTGCTGTAGTGCTTGTCTCCAGAGGCTGCTGTCGACTATCCTTGCCACTCATTCAAGTGAAATAAAATCACATACATTCATTTTGCCTTGTATTTTATCCAGCATCAGGTTTTACAGTTTCACTTAAGTGTTGTGTGCAGCAGTTTTGTTAAATTCAAGGTCATAGGAGAGTATGATAGTTACCATTGTTTTCTACTGAGGGACCTTTACACTATCCACTTTTAGACTAAATGTTTTTATTGTTGTTTTATGATATGGAAATTTGTGTAAAGTTCTTTCTCTTACTGTGTTTTTGGAGATGAGTGTCATAGTCATAGGGTAGATGTACCTTTAAGTTTTTAAGAAATTACTACTAGTTTTCCAAAGTGAGCATTCACCTTCAACAGCAGTGTATGAGAACACCAGTTGCTCTAGTACTCTTATCTTTATGGTCTGTCCATTCAGGAAGATGAGCTGCAGCATTTCGTTAGAATTTGCCTTGTGGTTTCCTGGCAGCTAATGATGGAAAGTACTTTCTTTTTCCCATGTGCTTATTGACTCAAAGACATTTTATAGTTATGTTGTTTATGTTTATATTATTTGCACTTATGTTATTTACTCATTAGAGTAACCCTTTGAGGAAGATAATCTGTTGCCTTAAGTATAAGAGGACCGAGACACTGAGGCTAAAGTAATTTAGCTCAAGTTCCCAGTGTGTCTAGGCAGTGAGTCTGAACAGTTCTAGGATGCATTGGGATATAAGATATGGAAAGGAGGGGCACAGAATGAAAAGCAGGTTCTAGTGTGTGTGGATTTTAATGTTTAAGACAGGCCTGTGTAACCAGATCTGAGAATGCTCAGATAGGAATGGGAGCAGGCTGGTGCTGGCACTGGGGCCTGTACCAATGCCTGGGGAAGAAGGCTTCCTAAGAGAACCTGAAAGTATATATACATGCATGTGTACATGTGTTTTTAGCGATCTTCAAAAGTATAATTTGTGAGCTATAAAGTCTACCCATTTAAGAATATAACCCCATAAGTTTTGTTATTCAACTACCACTACCAAATAGTTTTGGACTTTATGACATCTGAAAGTGTCTCATGCCCATTTGTCCTGCTCTTATCCCCAGCAGCTTCCAGTCTGACTCTTGTCTTGGTGGATTATCTCTGTCATGTGTATGTGTATTCTTTATTTTATATATATATATATAAAATATATATATATATATGTGTGTGTGTATGTGTGTGTGTGTGTGTGTGTAAGCTATTGAAACTATCTTGCAGAATAAAATATATTTATATAAAAATTAGGGTTATGCTAATTTTTCATATACTAAACTATATATGGATATGCTTCTACTAGAGAAACACAAAATATTCAGAAGTAATAAATAAGTAATAAAACATTTTAAGACTAAACTAGTGGTTGAAAGACAAGACACCATCCGATAATCAGGCCAGAAAAAAATATGAAGAAATCATCGAAAAGGTAAAGGAATCACATGACCCAACCATGGTTTGAACAAATATCTATTGGTTATGTTCATGGCAGCCACTGCATTAGCACAGGCTGGTGATGGAAAAAGAATCAAAACCCATTTGCTTATTAGAGTTCTGTAGTGAGTACAGAACTTTCCTAAAGTTTTGGAACAGATCCCATTTGCTTATTAGAGTTCTGTAGTGAGTACAGAACTTTCCTAAAGTTTGCGATCTGATACCTCCCCTACCACTCTCCCAATGGCAGCAAACACTGATGAACAATATCTTTTTAAAAACCAAAGTACAGCTACAACTCCCGCTGAAGGTATCTATATAAGGACACTGCAGTGTTTATGTTGTCTCTGCACACATAGGAGGCAATCCTATTGAGTCATGTGATGCTCAGATGCACACAGAGGGCACTGTCTGGTCTTCTAGTCCACCCCACAACATCCATCACTAGTCGACAGTCCCTTTCTTCAGGGTATGGGTTGTTTATCCATTGATTTCCACTGATGGTACATCCTACCTTTCATTGCTGTCCTTTTCAGCACTCGTTTTTTTCTATTTGTGATCTTGTATTTTTCACATTGAACCTATACACATTCTGGGCCCTGTTCCCCACCCCCACCCCCTTCCTCTATATACACACTGACAACATCTATACTCACAGTGTCATAAAATTAAACATTTTAGCATCTTGTCAAGGTCACACAGTAAACAGCAATGCAAGGATTTCTGTCCAGTCAGTCTGGCTGAATTGTAAGCATCTTGAGTTCATATGTTGATGCTGCCATGGTACTGTATCTGGAGGTGAGGCTTTGAGGGTAATTAAAGGAAAATAAGTCATAGGGATAAGAAACTAATCCAGCAGGGCTGTGGCTTTATAAAGCAAGAGAGAATGTGGGAGGGTAAAAGGAAAAGGTAGCTAGCAGTCCAAAGGATAGGAAGAAGGCCAGATCATCAGATACCCTGACTTTGGACATTTAGCCTATAAAACAGTATGAAAGTTGTTCTGTTGTTTAGTTCCTTCAGTTTATGGGATTTTATTATGGGAGTCTGAGCAGATCCACCACAGGTTCTGTTATAGGCACTGGAAATTTGATGACCAGCAACAAAATGATTATCTGTCCTTGTGAAGTTTGCAGGATTATCACTCACTGTTAGTATTGTATCAATGCCATATTAACATAATCATAATTCTTTTATAATTATAGACCCATTCTAGTAAATACCAATAGTTTGTTTCTGTTTTGGTGTTGAATATTTATTTTTCCCAATCCTAGAAACGTTAGATATTAGTCAATCAAAGAATTGTTCGATTATTTATAGAATTAGCAAAAGGAAAAGTCTAGCACATGGTAAGAATGGAAGACTGGCAGAGTGCTGGGTCTGTCTGCCAGGAACTGAGTAAGTGAAGACAGTGTAGGACATAGAGCATGGAAACCTGCCTCACCAGCATGTTCAAAGTCCTGTGGTGGAGCCACAGCACCCAAAGTGGCTGCTGTGTCAGTGTGCAGGGTTAAACAGGGGCTTATCAAGGCATGAAGCTTCAAAGATGGGTGGCCACCAACTTTTAGTCCAACTGAAAAGTTGAATCTTTGTCACAAGAGACTCGCAGTCACTGATAGGACCCGACATGGCCTTTGAATTTTACAGAAGCAGGCATGGGTGTAGGTTCCCTCGTCCCCCTCCCTTCCCCTGCCCTACCCTCCAGTTCCATCTGCTCTCCTCTTCTCGTTCTGTTCCTTTAGAGCTTTTCACTCTTGAAATGACCTTTTTAGGATATACATAAAAAACAATATAAACAATTTTGGGTCTCTTAAATTAGCAACCCTTTAAACTTTTAATTAATAGCAAATAACAATGCTAAATGATAGTCTTGCTACAGAGTTGTTCCTTGGTCTGCACAGCTGCAGTAGTTAAAACAATGTGGGTAACTCATTTTTAATTAATTTGATGAGATGTTACTGCTTACACTTTAAGACCAAGATGTACACATCATTCAGAACATTATTTAATGGTATTAAATCATCAACATTTAAATATTGAAACCATACAATATAATTTTAAGCACCAAATCCCATTCAATGATGAAAACTATTGCACATCCTATATAGGCAACTGAAGTCATTCCATGCTCAGATAAGAGAGGTGCACTAGTGCCCCCTGCTGCTAGGATAAATGTATAAGCATTGTTTATCTTCCAGCCAGCTTTGTGTGAAATTAGCTTAGGATTTTAGTGTTTATTTTTTCTCCTCTCTCATGTCTGACTTGATAAAAAATAATCTCACAATAATTTTTGAATGTTAGTGAAATAGCCCTTTCTAGATTTTAAGTTCCTTATTGCTAAAGAGACAGCATGTTTGCTGTTTAAAAGACTTCAAATACTTCTAGTCAGGTTGCTTCTCATTGTTTTAAGTTCATTATTTAGTTTGGAGTACAAAATGGTGGGCTTCATTGTGGCATTTCATACATGTACATAGCACTGTCCTTTTCTTGTTTGTCACCACCATTCTGCTTATGACACTTTCCCCACTTTAATCTACTTCGTTTCCTCAAAACATCTCCACATAGCAATGAATGCACATGCACCTGCACGGGCATGTGTGGGCACACACACAAGCACACGCAGACACATACACACATACACACATACACACATACACACATACACACATACACACACACACACACACACACACACACACACACACACCTAGGTCTGTTCCTCTTGCATGAAAGAATAACTGTTCTGGTAAACATATTTGGTTTTATTAATAGTTCTCAAATTAAAGTGGCTTCATTGTGACGTCACAAAGCAGAAACAGATAATAAAAAGAACTTCCTCCTCAAATGTACCTTTCCATATATATTAGTCTGTCATTTTGGCTAAATTAAAAGTAAGTTTTAGGTTTGCTTTTTGTGAGTGTTGGAGAAAATGACAGTGCTCCAAATATACTCAGGCAGGAGATACAGGTGTGTGTATGGTCTTAGAATCTCTAGTATTTATCTGCTGCAGGAGGCAGCCACTGGAAACTCACTGTCTGAGAACACCAATTCTGAAGCTGAACTGGCTGGCTGGAAACCCTTGAATTATTATTTAGTATGTGACCTTGACAAGTTTCTGAAAAGTTGCTTAATTTTACTTAATTCAGCATTCTTATATATAACATGGAAAAATGCTTAAAGCAATTCCTGAGGCATAGTGAGCATAATATAAGTATTTTCTGCCTAATAAAAGTTATAAGAACATGAACTATAAAGCTATGGCATTGATATTTGTTCACCTAGGAACATCCAGGAAGCATCTAAATACTTAACAGTGGGTAATGGTTTCTTAGGATTATGGTCAATATCATGCAGTGAATATTGTTGTCAATGTATAAGATTAGATGAAATAGTGAAATTTGTATAGTGAAATGGCATGTGAGAGCTTCGAAGCAAAGTTCCTGACTTGTTAATAAATCTCCTCACCAAGTATGTGTGGTCAACACTATATTTTGTGATTAGTAGGTGTGTTCAGGCTGACTACCATTAACTCACTTTGAAGTAATAATCTGTTTTTCTTTCTACCAGTGTGGAATTTGTTTTTCATTTGTCCCTCCTTTTATTTTATCCTGTTTGCTAATATGCAAGTACTCTTGAAAAGTCAGAGAAAATTCTGGGTTCTATAATGAAAAAGGTGACCTTATTTGTTAATTCCAGTTTGCTTTCATGTGTAGGAGGCCCTTAAGACTGATTTGTTGTACTAATCTGTACAAGTATAACCTTCCAGTAGGAAGAGCTCAAGAGCCCGGATGTCTGACACAGTTACCCCATTCTCCCAGACCTCCATGCTCTACACTCTCATTTTGTTTCAAAGGCAAAGTATTTAGGGAGAACTACACTGTTGGCTTCTATTGAGTCACTTCCAGCCGGTTTCCCAAATTTTTTTATAAACAGATTAAAACTTGATTTAATGGATCATGGCCCATATAGAAGCAAATTGTTAATAATTACAAAAATGAAAGCATATGTGCTGTTATCCATGTAATTTTGGTGAACTTCAGAGAAAAAAAATCTTGCAAATAAAGATTACAGTGAGTGTTGGAAAGCTCCATCCCGGTGCCAAGCAGGTATCTTTCATTCATCCAGCATGCACGTGTCCATGTATTTCAGGCACTGTCATATGATCTGAGGGTGTAATGACTACTAATTATATTTTCCATGAAGCTTACCTCTCAATGAGTTGTGGACCTAGTAACTAAAGAAAGGTCACCACTTCAACATTTGTTTTGAGAATTTTCAGGAAACTAAATATTGTTCCCAGCATGA